AGAATATGAGTCTTTAACTTATATCCGTGTGCACAAATATCATGTGCTTCTGCTAGGCTTGCCACGTAAAGCAAAGGGGAGTTAGGAGAGCATCTCTGTTCTTTAAGTAGTTTCATGTTTCTAGGCATATGATTTCCCACGATATTGAAAGGGCTTTTCAATGTGTTTTTGGCTTATAATTGGTGATCTATCAGAAATCAAAGAGAACACAAAACAGACCAGAAATCTGGGGGTGTGTGATAGGCAAATATTTTCCCACTCTTTAGAAAGAAAGAGTCCAGCACTACGAAATGTCAAGCATGACATCAATTGTATGCAAAATTCTGGAATGAATTATTATCTCATGGTTTGTAGGCCATTTGCGAGGGCAGTAACTAGCATTAATTCCCCAAGGACAAATCATGCTATCATAGTCTCTTTTATCAGATAGTTAGGGCTAATAGATTATACTAAGAAGGTAAATGCTTTAGATATGGTATATCTGAATTTCAGAAAAGTCTTTGATCACATTTTTCCTGATATGATTTTGTCCAGACTGACCTAGGTGATGGTCAGTGAATTTATAATTGACTTAGTGCCATTGCCCATGGAACATTGACTAATGGATCAATGCTGATGAGACAGACTTTTGGCAGCTTAACACATATCCATTCCTTGTCTTGTTCTGGTTAACATTTTACTAAAGTGTAAATAAAAATATAAAATACATTATTATCTATAGATAACAAATTCTGGTAGGAAGGACATAGTTTGTGAGCTATCAGGATGAGAATTCAAAATAATTTTTAGGCCAAAAATAATGAATTAAAACAATAGTACGAGGATTTTTCCCATGTACATATTATCTCATTTAATCATCATAGTAGGGTATTAATATGACTAATAACCCTTATTTATTGTATGCCCTGAATGTGCTAGATGCTTACCTTTGCCTTCCAATTTTTTTTTTTTTTTTTTTTTTTTTTTTTTTTGAGACAGAGTTTTGCTCCTGTTGCCCAGGCTGGAGTGCAATGGTGCGATCTTGGCTCACTGCAACCTCTGCCTCCCGGGTTCAAGAGATTCTCTTGCCTCAGCCTCCCAAGTAGCTGGGACTACAAGTATGCACCACCACGCCTGGCTAATTTTGTATTTTTAGTAGAGAGGGAGTTTCTCCATGTTGGTCAGGCTGGTCTCAAACTCCCGATTTCAGGTGATCTGCCCACCTCAGCCTCCCAAAGTCTGGGATTGCAGGCATGAGCCACTGCCCCTGGCCTCCAAATAATTTTTTTTATATATATATATATATAAAAAATATATATATTTTATATATATAATATTTATTATATATAATATTATATATAGAAAATATTTATTATATATATTTATTATATATAATTTATATATATTATATATATAATAAATATTATATATTTATTATATATATATAATATTATATATATATAATATTTCTCCTTCAGAAAAGGAAACTGAAGGTAAAATAAATTGCATACCTTCTATGAGGTTGTACAGGTAATGCTGGAGCTGGGATTTACAAATAGGTCAATCTGACACTCAAACTGAAAACCCTCTTTCTTATACCTTACTTGTTTTTCAGATGAAATGTATCAGAGAAGTATAAATTCTGCCCGGAAATTCAGAAACTTAGTTGTATAAGAACAAAGTGGAGAAGATTTAGTTTAACAGTGGTTCATGTGAAAAGGTATGAAGCGTTTTGTTTGCCTGTAAGCATCTTATGAATTATCCGGGTGAGTCCCTGACGTCCCTCCAAATGAATGCAATCTTGGATTATAGAACAGAGTACAGAACAAAGAAGGACAAGAATCACACTGTGCCCCACCATGAGTGAAGTATGGTGCTTGCTTCCGAGGCCCTCATCCTAAAAGAGTACTGTCTATTTGAGCAAGCCCAGAATAATTTGACCATAATGATGAAGACAGGTCATATGCATAATGGTTGGTTGAAGGAGCTACAATGTAGAAAGCATGCTACCCTTAGCTATATATAGTTAACATTTGTTCATGCATATTATGAGCCAGACACTATTTTTACTATTTTACAGCTTTAATTAATATAATTCTCAAGATAATCTTATTAAATAGGTGCTGCTATTATTACTTCTATTTACAGAAGAGGAAATTGAGGTGCAGAGAGGCCATATAAACTTTCCCAAGGTCACATAGTCAAAAAGTCTGGCTCCTATTTTCAACTGGAACAAGAAATTAGAGGAGGAATTACATACAATATTCAGCTAGAAATGTTTTAAAAAATCAAACAAGAAAGGCTGCTCTAGAAGAGTACACTTCTTTGATTCCCAGAAACCTAGTAATTTACATTATTTCAAAAGGCCTTGCTGAGTTATCTATTTCCTGATGCTTTCAATTAGGCATATTTTTGGAGGGATTCTATAGTATTGAAGTGGAAGAAAAATATGATTTACATGTTTTCTTCCAACTCAATGAGCCTATCAGTGTCAGCATAGTCCCATATGATGGGTTGAAGTGACAGCACTCATCCTCCCAGAATCTTGAAGTTTATGTAGAAAAATCTAGATTAACTGGAACTTGATTTCAAGAACCCTAAACTAATCAAAATGTGTTGCTGCCTTCTGCTTTTAGAGGTGATTTTTGCAAGTTTTTAAATATTAATCAATCCCTTCATCCACGAGTACATACACTTAGATAACAAAGATTTATTGAGCTTCTACTGTATGTAACACTATGCCTGATTTCATCTTTGGCTGTCTATTGTTAGCTCCATTTAATGATGAGAACATTTAGGCTCAAAAATTTAAGAAATTTGTCCAAATCCCCATAGGTAGGAAAGTACAGGAAAAGGCTTGGAACACAGGTTTGTCAAACTATGCTTTTCCCAGTGTACTCTACTCCTTCAGCAAGAAAATCAAGTAGATCCAATTTCACAAGTAATTTCAATAAAAGGGTTCTACTTATTTCTTGGGTCATTAGCTCAACAAACATCATCGGTTCTCCTTTCGCTTAGGGCTGGTATAGTGTTTGTTGATGAAGAATACAAAGGTTAAAAAAGAGACCAGGCAAAAAACATTGTTCTATCTTGGAGAGGGTTCATTGCTGGGTGGAGAGACATCTGAAAACAGATCATTACGATCAAGTGAGAGAAGCTGAAAGTTAAATTGCCTAGAATGTGCATTCTTCTGATCTTCCTGTTAATTGAAATTTTACGTCATCAACATTCAGACTGATGAAACAAATGTTTGAGCATGAACGCTGTGCCAGGTATGATGCTAGGCATCATGGAAACGGAGGAGAAAGTACTAGGCATGATTTCTGCACTCATGAAGGGTCTAGTTAGCTTCGATGCCTGAGGTCTGGCCTGGTTCTTGAGACTTCCAATAGGAAACTAGTGAAATCGTACAGTTTCATCTTACCTAGAAGTTAGTTAGAAGTCAGCCAGTAAGATAAAACTGGGATGTAACAAAAATTACTGTTTAAAATAGCTACATTGGGCATGATATGCTGGCCATGATGAGTGCACAATGAAGATCTGATGACAGTGGGGTTGAAAGAACCCCTCAGCTGCAGGCATGATTTTCTGTTTCAGAGCAGTGGATCTCTACTTCAATTGCACATTAGGATTACCTGGGGAGAGACTGGGCGCAGTGCCTCGTGCCTGTAATCCTAGCACTTTGGGAGGCTGAGGTGGGCGGATTGCCTGAGCTCAGGAGTTTGAGACCAGCCCGGGCAACATGGTGAAACCCCATCTCTAATATACAAAAAGTTAGACACGTGGGGTGGCACGCGCCTGTAGTCCCAGCTACATGAGAGGCTGAGGCACAAGAATTGCTTGAACCTGGGAGGTAGAGGTTGCAGTGAGCCGAGATTGTGCCACTGCACTCCAGCCTGGGGGAAATTTTTAAAATCTGATGCCCAGGGCTTCACCCAAGGTCAATTCAATCAGAAATCTGGGAGGAGGATGGGCCCTAAACAAGTATTTTTTAAAATATTGATTTCTTATTTGCAATAAGGGTTAAGAACCTCTTACCAGTAGAAAACAGACCTGTAAATATTTATAGCACTAGGCATTACACAAGTCACACCTGTGGCTATTGTAAGCAATTTATTTTGCTCAATTTCAAACTCTCAGAGATGGTGAGGCACAATCAGAAATCAGAGATGATGGAAAATGTTGGAAATAGCTCTGCAACTAGCAGGCAAGCTGGTTCTGCAGTGTCGGCTCATTTTAATTTCAGCTGTGTTTAGAGAAGACCATCTTACTGGTTCACAGAGCACTCCCTTGTGGCTAAACTATTATGAGCCAACACTGATTCTTGTTTGCAAGCTTCGGCAACAAACACACAGGCGTGCGCGTGCGCACACACACACACACATACTCTTCTTCTCAGGATAAAATATTTTAAAACGCTGACTTTAAGATTTCAACACAGCATTTAAGTATTTTTCTTATATATAAACAGTTCTTTCCAGAAAGAAAATCATAGCCATATGACCAACAAGAGGCTGCATGGATCACTGAGAAAACCGTGAGTGTCCACCCATGCTCTGTGGGTTGTGGTTGAAGATGACTCTTTGGACCTTAGATTCTTCATGTGTCAAATGAATCAATGGGACTCTCTGACTGCATTATACTAATGTTCTATAATCTATGATTCAGTTTTCTAGAGGATTCAGCCAAGTTGGGGATTCCCTTTATTTATCTAGTAGATTAAGCACTTCAGACTCTTAAAGAGGTAGAAGGAAATGGTTCGAGATGAGCAAAGTGGTTTTGTTTGTTTTCCTTCCTCAACCCCCTTCCTGCATCATTGAGCTGGGTCGAACAGTTGCTAAGAAAAAAGTGAAATGTTCCAAACTGGGGGACTTTTTGGACATAGATTCTGAAACTTCAGTTGTGATGTTGGCTGGACAAAGTGGTTTTCTTTCTTTGTGGGGAATGGCAGAAGAGAAGAGAAAGATCTGCTTTTCATATGTCAGAACTAATCATGAAATAAGTGGGCCTACAGACTAATCTAATCATGCTTTTGTTTATTCACCTCATATAAAAGTCTCTTTAGAATGCATTTGAACACAATATATAATAATAATACTATAACATACATTGTGAGAAACGTTTGAAAATGATCAAATGTTCACCTGAAACAATGCAGTGTTCATAGACACACAAACCCATTGGTCATGCACATTTGTGCCATTTTCTGTAATTACTGAGTCACAATGCTGAACCGAAAGCATGAAACATATTTTACAAACTGAAACTGACATCAGTAAGAGGCCTAACAAGTGTTATCAGAAGAGGCTTCACATTTGCATAATTTGCTACATCAGTTCACATTTTATTATAAAAGTTCACATTGTTTTATCGTTTTCTTTTGTAATGAATTGGAACATGACATTCCTGCTTAATGGCAGGCAGGAGGCTAGCTCTTCAAAGTCAGTAGTTTGGGAGCATTCAGAAGAATCATCTGTGAGCAAATGTAGTGTTGCTTTTTGAACCAAAGCCACAATGATAGTAGGACTCAGTTATAACCCAACTCATGCCCACACAGATTTGGATAGAACCTGGGTAAAAACTACATCCCATTGCCCCCTGCCCCTATCAAGCTATACAAAAGTAAAAGCTCAGTATAAACCATTTAGCATCTAATGTGAGAATCTTGTTTCCAAAACTGGTTCATAAAGGGGTTGTGCAGAAGTAGCAACTCAGGCAGGGAAAGGGCAGACCCTGTGAACAAAAGCCCACCCCTGTCCTCTCTGCCAAGGGGGCTGTATGTCTCTCCTAAGTGATGTTTGGGTTATATAATACACAATACAAAACATTACAAGAAAAAGTCGTAACTCTTAGGCAGAGTTTTCTACACAAATTTAACACCACCATTGGCAGGCAATGTTAGATATATAAATTAATAACTTACAAAACATTACATTATATACATTAAGTAATAAATACACGGTTATAAACAGGAATGGAGGTGTTAGCGCAGAAGGCAGTGCAAGAGAAGGACGGCAGCATTACATTGAAAACAGCGTAACTGGGTGAAAAGAGGAGGTAGGGAATAGGGCCAGGGACTGTACAACTCCTGTCAGGGGCAGGGTCCAAGACACAGCAGGGCACACTGCTTAGTGCTATGCACACTTTTATGGTGAACAACACCACTGCTCCTTTCTACCTTCTAATTTGTTAAATTTTATTCTGTTTACAGCAAAACGTTGAACTCCAGAGGAGAAAAAGTATTGTTGAAGGCAAGCAAACAGAGAGAAGTTATGAGTGGCTGTGGAGTTGGATTGGACAATAGGGGAAGGAAGTAAAATGTGGTTAGAAGTGTATCCTTTCTGTCTGTTTGCAAAAGTAACTGTAGTAAAGTGAAGGATATTGCCCAAGAAAGAAGGAAGACTATTTTCTTTCCCTTTTCCAGAAAGAGTCAAAAAAGTCTGTCAACTTTGAAAGCTTGTCTGTGTAGAAGTTGATACTAAACTCTAGGTATTCAACAGGCATTTTAAAGACATGAAAATGTTTTACAAAAAAGGCACACAGGTTGGCAGACAAAGGGACAAGTGAGCAGATTCATAAATGAAGTTATTAGTCAGTGAGTTCAGTCACTATCGGGGATAAGTTCCCGAAACTTAGTGCAGAACGATCTCTCAGTTTTGTGTCTTCCATTTTCAAGCCATGTGTCTTGATCAGAACCGGCCACCAGCAACAGCTTCAGCCCTCTCCACCAAGCTTGCCAGCAAGGCAAGTCAACTGTGGGATTTCCTGAGCTGCTCTTTGCTTCCTGATCTTGCATTCTGACTCCAAACTCAAGTAACTGAAAGGCCAGGTGGCCCTTGTCCTGTGCAGGTCTTGGCCCCCATGGTGGGCTGGCCCTACCACATAGCTGGCATGCTCATCAAGGGGAGAATGTTCATCTCCACAGGGAGAGGGGGATTATGTATCAACTGGGGACTTGTCTTCTGTTGCAATGTCTATGTCAGTCTCTCCCAGGGAATCTCTGTTTTCTGGATCAATCACGCAAAGTGTCTTTGTGCTGCTGAAATAGCTGTGTCCCTCTCCTTCCTTCTCAGGTCCTTCAGAATCTTCCTCATCGAGAGTCAGTTCAAACTGAAACTTCTCCATCAGACCCTGGCAGTCCCTGTTCTGCTCGTCCAGTGGTGGTGAGGGACTTTGAGGTATCATGCTCTGATACCAGTTCCTGTTATCTTCTAAGGTATCGAGAATGTCCTGAGCATCAGGCTGTACCAAATCTGCCCAAGTCTCCCACAATGGATGGACAATGTAGTCGATGAAACCAACCTGGAGAAAAATAAGATTACACATCTGTTATTGTGATGGTGCTTGAAAAGTAAACACAGTGTCCTGGTTTCCATGCAAAGAAAGAACATGAATAACCAGAAAGATCAATCATAATGGATTCCATGATTTGGGCACTCACTATATGGTGGGTCTTACACTGAATGCAATTGATGTATTCTCTCTTAATCCTGAAAAGTAAGTATTGCTGTATATTATTTAGAAAGGCAGAAACTACAACTTACTGAGATTAAATATCTTGTCAGAGGTCACATAACTAGTGAGTGGTGGAGCTGGGACTCAGCCCCAGCTTTGTCTGATCCCAAAACCTGTGTTCATCTCACTACAACAGACTGCATTTCCTTTTACGTGCGCCAGATAAGAAGTCTGGATGGGATCCTCGTGTTTTCCAGGGACCCAAAGACAAAGCACGACTCTGTCACTACTTGGACTCTGTGAGTCATTTTCTGAAGAAGGCAGGCCCAGGTCTAACGTGTTTTGTCTCAATATTTTTTCCTTGCTAACTTTAAAATATGTTGCTATTCCAAAGTGATGAGGATCTGGCTCCTGACTACTCTGGAATTTCTCAAGTTCTGTGGAATGCTTTTGGCTGGAAGAGGAGTTTGATGAAACACGTGAAAATACTTTAAGCCCTGAAAGAAACACATATCCCCTTGATGGACATTCATGCAATTGTTTTGGATCTATAGAGCACACAGTCATTTCCATCAAGAGAAAGAAGGGAAAATAAAAAACAATTAAGCAGTTCCTTTTGCTGGTGTTCCTGTGATTAAATACCAGGCTTATGGCTCTGTTATGGTTTACTCAGGGGCTATGCATCCTGCATGAGCTAGCAGTGTGGCCTTATGCTGGCCTCCTCATTGTTGGACAAACAGGAAACACTGGGGGTGGGGACAAGTAGAGAGAAAGAATAGGCACTAGCTGAATGAGAGAAGGGAATTCCCCTGCCATGGTCTGGGGAGCTAGAGAGATGCTAGGTTGGGATTTAGGGGTAGATGGGCAAAGGGCACCCACCCATGGGATATTATATAGGTCTCTTTCCACACTACTGGAAACTTCCCTTTATTAATATGTTGGTATTTGGCCAGTCATTTAATACATCCAAGTTGTACTGTACACAGGAACTTTGGTCATATGTGACTCTTTCATATATAAAATATATATATGTGATGTCTGTGTGTGTGTATATATATATTTTTTTTCTTATTCTTCTTCTTTCTGGTGCTTTCCTAGCCTTAAAAAGCAAGATTCACAGCAAAGTCAGGGCATCTCTGATCTACACTGGTTATAAAAACTCGATCATACATGATTCAGATATTTCTCTCACTTCCACCCCCTCCTTTTCCCTCCCTTTTACTTCTTTACTTAATGAATGTTACAGACTATTTTCAAGGTGTTTTCCAGGGACCCAAAATAACAAGCTCAAGGTAATGGAGAAAATTGAATAAGCTGAACACAGTGCAGTCATTTCCTTTCTTCACTTGTTTTGCTTCTGCAAAGAAACGCTGAGAATTTTTTGCAAGGTAGCTGCTATTTATTCCCTAGATCACAGGACGAGAGAGCTGTATGAATCCTGAGAGCACCCAGTAAAGAGCTTTACTGGTGGGCCAATCAGACAGTGTTCAGCAGAGCCCATCGGTGGGAAACACCAGAGTGGATAACGATGTTATGGCAACAGGAAGACCCGTCCCTAAGATGGAGAGTGAAGAGCTTTGGATGAGAGAGCTGCTGTAGTGGACCAAGAGGACAGCTTTGAACCTGACATGCTGGAGAAATATCTGCTTTATCTATTTTGCAAGGCTGTTTGGGGGTCCAAGTAAGATAATATATGGAAAATGTGTGAAATGCTGCACAGAACATCATATAAACATAAAACATCACTGCTATTAATAAAATGGTGTTATTCCTCCTTACTGATTCATCTCTTGTTCCACTTAAGCCTTTGGGCTATTTGAATTGACCCTCATTAACAATGTTAACTTGCATTTTTACAGCATATTAGACTTCAGATCACTTTCACAGATTTTTTTTTTTTTTTTTGAAATGAAGTCTTGCTCTGTTGCCTAGGCTGGAATGCAGTGGCACAATCTCAGCTCACTACAACCTCTGCCTCCTGGGTTCAAGCGATTTTCCTGCCTCAGCTTCCCGAGTAGCTGGGACTACAGGCACACACCACCATGCCCGGCCAATTTTTTGTGTGTTTTTGGTAGAGAAAAGGTTTCACCATGTTGGCCAGGCTGGTCTTGAACTCCTGACCTCAGGTGATCCGCCCACCTCAGCCTCCCGTAGTCCTGGATTACAGGTGTGAGCCACTGTGTCCAGCCCTTTCACAGATTTTTAAAAACTCATTTAGTTGAGTTTCTTTAAGAAGCAACAAAATAAAAATCACAAAGGAACTGTACATTAATATTACAAGTATATGCAAATTTGGGGTTTCCAGGTAGTAGGGGAAGAGGATGAATACTGAAAATAAACAATCCAAATGTTTTCGGGATAAAGATCTTGGACAGTCTATGAACTAATTCTCAATCTCAGCTACTTGGCTCAGCCCATTCGTTTTCTTGAAAAAACTCTGTGCGGATACTGATACTGTCCATTGCTGCATATTCTGCAGCTATTGGCATCTAGACATTTCTGTATTCACCTCCTCCAGACTATTGTCCCCTATCCTAAGCACACACAGAATGTGTAGCTTTGGACACAACTGGAAAATGTCAGCATGTTCTCAAAAGCATAGAAGCATCCCGGGAGGGAACACAAGACAGGGCTTTGACTATACGTTAAAAGAGACTGCCTCTGGTGATGGTTGCAGTGGGCTGATTAAGGACGAAGATAAAAACAGAGGACTGGAAGCAAGGGTGAGGAGCAGAGCTCTTGAATGAAGACGGAGCAAGGAGAAATCCAGAGGGATGGGATGGAGCAGATACCAGTGTTCAGACCATTCAGCTGGATTTGCAAACATCAGAGACAACTATCTAAATGATTTAGGGACACGTAATCCAAATTTTGATGGGTTTCTGATGACTACTTATCCCCACCCTGTGAAACTGAGTGTAATGGAGAAGTCACATGAGTCCTGACTATAATGGAACAAAATGCGTAACTGTCTCCTTCTCATCTCATATATACATATTCTATTGGAAAAATGGAATTAAATAGAACCCTCCAGCTCTACAATCAGCAGAGCTCGCAAATACTTTGAAAATCTCATATTAGATACCTGGGATTTTTCCACAGAAGCTGTGTGTTTATCACACATTGGGCTAATTTCCATTCCCCTCTCCCGCTCTTTGTCTCCCTGCTGGAAAAATTCCTCCATGATGCGGTCTGTCCATTGCCGATACAATTCCAAGGACTTGGTGGGGTTGCTCAGGTCTGCACAGTGCACCATGTTGCGAAGGACCTGAAATCATCAATTTTTAGAAATCCCATAAAATTAGGTGTAAATACTGCCGGAACATCTCATCCTTCTCATACTAGTATGCTTGGTACTAAACCCTAGAACATTTTAGTTGCATTATAATTATGACATATGCACCAAAAAAAAAAAAAAAAAAAAAAAATGGAATTACAATGGTGCTAGCCTGGGTCAGTTATTTACCTTTATAGAGTCCCAAAGGGGAAAATGTGTGTCTTCTTAGACTGACAGTCATTGAATTTAAAAATTGGAAGGAACATTAGAGGTCAGATGCTGCTATCATTTCCTTTTCTCAGTTTGGAAAGAATGCAAAGAATTACTCCAAGTAGATAACTTCATATTTTCCACTTGTGGAAAGAGGAGAACAGCTGATGGCAATTTGTATATCCAAAACAAACCTAACAAACTTCAAGTCAATGGGATTTAAATCCAAACACAAGCTTTTGGAACCAACAGTCACGTATGCCCTATTACAAATAGATTTTGCAATTTATTTATAGACCTAATAAGCAATTCCACAAATAGGCATTTTTTTCTCTCATAAATTAGAGGATGAACTTGAATGTCCATTTTCCTTAGCTTGTTCTTAAGCCCTAAGCTATAGTAGTAGCCTAGGATATACCAAAAACTGAATTTATCTTTGTTTTCTTTTTCTAATTGTTGTTCAGCTTAGTTTGGTGTGGTTTTGTGTTAAATCAAAGACTTTCATCAAATACCTGAATGCGATCAGTATAGTTGTCTAGGAGAAGAACGCCTGAACTTGTAACTTTCTTTGTTTCTACCATTGTCTTCAGGTCTGCCAACAGGCTCATATGTTTAGACATATCAGTTGCTAACACCTTGGGTAAAAAGAAAATGAAAACTTTTAATAAATTCAGTCTATCAGAGAGAATGGCAGTAAGTGAGGAATGTAGAGAGGCTAAAGTCTTACCATGTCAATAACCATCTTCCTGAGTGTCTGACGCTGCTTCTTCGTGAGATTCATGAAGATGTCACAGTGTTCTTCTTGTAGCAGTTTGAAACCCACAGCAAGGTGATGATTTTCCAACACAGATTCATCATTATACATCAAAGCAAGTTCTGAATCTAAAAAATCAGACCAAATGATGACTTAATTAAAAAGTGATATGATTTGAATGTTGACATTATCTCAAAGTGAAATCAGACCTAGTTCTCTCCAAATTATTTCAAGAACCACCAGCCACATGCCATTTCCTCTTAGAGAAGCAGTGGCCCTCTACAAACAGAAGTCGTCAGTTTGTAAGCAAAAAATGCTTCTACTGGTGTATAAGCTTTCTCTGTGATTAAAATTCATTGCATTTTAAAATCCTTTTACTCATTCTATATCTCAGATGAAGAATTTAATATTAGGTAAGGGCATTTCTGAGCAGCTAAATCCTATTTTTATGTGTCTTCAGAAATTTTGTACTTTGGAAAAGAACAACGTGAAAGTACCACTAAACTTTATGCATTGTAATGAGATTTTCAAGCTATATTCACATTTTATATGCTCCCTAATCCCTGGCAATTGTGAATTTTGGATTGTCAAAGATAATGTTTGATGTAAAACTTCATTTTACCCAAATAACATCACTTTTTAGAGCTTTCTGTTCATATGATACTATACATTACTACTTTTTTGGAACAATTCTGATGTCAAATTTTCTGTCTTTTTACTCTCTCCACAAGAAATTGCAATATCTGGAAACCTAAGCTGCAGCTTCCAGCCTGCCTTTTATATAGAAGAATCACAGGCATCTTTTGCTAGACAGAAGTCTGCTTGGGAATATGGTCATCAGACTTATGAAACCACATTTTAATCAAGAATACCAGACAAGCGGTGGCAACGTGTTACTTAATTGCAGATTCTGTTACACATATATCATTGCTTTAATAGTGTGCTCTGAGTACTAACCTCCGATGAGTACTCTTGGTTTGTTCATCCTGTGATCAAGGGCACAGATCTACAAGTAGGCTTTATATGTTGCAGTGCTATAAGTGACTGTAGTAGATAGACCATTTTTCTGTGTGAGGCTAACTGGCCTATATATGGATTGATTCATGACACCACACTCTACCAACTGATATAATCCATGCAGACACATAGCTGCCCCAACATTTTGTTTGTTCAATAGAAGAATGAAGTAAAAGAATCCAGTGTACTCCAAACCTAGGTCATTCAGATATTCTTTGGATAAAGGTCAAGGACTGATGATCAGGACTTTTTTGCAGCAAGTAGCTCAAAAAGCATTTCTAGGAAACTATCAGTACTTGATGTTATTCATGACCACATTGGGATAACCAATATTCTCAAACTACTTAGATTTCCAGCACTTAGAGATAGTGCATTATTTGAGAGAATGAAAGGATTTTCAAAGGTGTGAAAACTAAACATTTTAAGCATGACAAAAGCTTTGAGTATGGCTTGGGATCCTAAGGCTAGACACCCCTGGTCACTCAGGTCATTGCTACTCCCAATCCATAATCAAATCTATGCAGTTGGAGGAAAATGTGTGGAACTTTTAATGACCCTTCCTTCTGAACTGTGGAAACTCATTCCAGTGCTTTTTACAGCATCTTATTTTTGCTTGGAGGTTCCCATGTGCAGATTTAACATTTGTGGCTGCTTCCCAAGCAGATAGGGACAGTAGTGAGTTACTATGTTCTGTGCAGAGTTTTGTATAATATCAAAAGTCATTATCATGGGATCACCAAACCTTTTCTTGTTCTTTATGAATAATTCCATATCTGTTATTCTTTCCTTACATATTGTATTTGCCCAACTTTGAGTACTTTTTATGGCTCCCCTATGACCCTCTCCAAGTTCTCCAAGCAGCTCAACATTGTGTTGCCAGACTGGACTGAGTATCCACGAAAGGCCTGACCAGTTTGAGAGGAATGGAAGGATTGCCTCACTATTATCCTTGTGATTATCCATAATGAAAACATTAGGAGGAAAAAATTTAAGCAGTGAATCATACAATTATCTGGAATGACTGTTCTGGTGGTGAACTCACTTGTGTTGATGAGAAACTGATTGGAGACTCCAGGATGATCAACGTCATGGATGGCAGCTGCAAAAATGGCAGCCAGGATTTCCAAATCTGTGAAGACAGCCTGTTGGGCAAATAAACACATTTAACTCCACATCCAATTTGCCTATCCTGCTTATTCAGTTTCATTTGTAAAGTATCCTACTTTATCCTTGTTGGGAGAGGGATTGTTGATTTATGTAATATCTCAATATACTAATTTAAGTAAATGTAGATTCTGTTCATCATCATAAAGTCTCTGACGTTAAAGGAATGATGGCCAGAGCTCAGCCTCACATCAAGCCTAAAGGCTGATGCTTGGAAAGACATTAGCACAAATCTCATGCAGTGTGTCAATGTCTAATGTTTGTTTCTTGGACCAATGGTGTGGCAGCATGGTGCTTATATAACACAAGCAGATACAAGTCAAAGAAGCAAAGAAGCAAGTTAGGCTGGCTCTGCTCTGAGATATAACAACCTTCATATGCTGTTAGCTGAATAACTTAGAGAAAATGGCCAAACTCCTGATTCATAAGATAAGCAATAAATTATTTCCCAAAGTGAAATTTATGGTGTGGTCACAAGCTTTTAGATATTACTCATTCATTCAACACGTATCCACTAATCATTTACTATGGGCAAGATTTGAGAACCTTCCTAAGAAGTGAAACCTGAGGCCCCGCTGCTCAATTCCTTCATGTCATGTCATGTCTGCCCCTACCCATGCACAATGATTCAAACCTAGGATTAATAAGGTATATATTGGTGCTCATTCTAGGGCTGAAATGTCTTCCCTCATCGTCTGGGATTAGTTAAATCTTCTGGTCCTTCCAATGCTAGCTTGAGGCAAGTTTCCACCTCTCCTATAAAGACCAATCCCATTACTCAAGCACTCACTGAACCCTCCCTTTTCTAAAAAGTTTGCAGCACTCATGGCCATTTTCTGGCCACTCAGTAGGTATGCTATTAATAACACCAGGCAGTTGATAAATAGTGTTGCCTCACTCTGTGATACTTACACAGGGTATAAAAACAGTACTCTTTCTCTCCTTCAGAGGGATCAAACACCCTTAGCTCCATTTCACTTTCTCAAGATTTCTTGGATTTCTTTTCTTAGAAAATATGCAACTCAAGCAACAGAGTTGTGGCCAATCTTTTTTCACCTTCCAAACTGAATCTGTAAAGGTGAGGCTGGATAGGGCATGGCCAGTCCCTTCCTGCAGTGGTCCAGCACATTTTGGGAGTACTTGACCATCATTTTCATTTGTCAAGTAAGAGTATGACCTGCTGCATACACTGTTAATTATATTGGTATACACAAATGCATTAATCTGTGAAAGAAGGAGCTACAGCCACCTTCTCAGAGTTAGTATGGCAAACTATGAATATTGTTTCTCCTTGTTTCAGCATTATTAATTCTTCTGTTCTAGATTTTTAGTTACTATTTATTCAATACACAGCATCAGTTTTATAATTTTTTAGGAGAAAAAGCCTCTGAATACTTATTACTAATAAGAAATGTAGAGAGTATTTTGTAGTTCTGCGATACCCCCCCTCCCCGGGAATATAGTGCTCTGTATATACCTAGGGTGGTGTTGGGCAGTTCAGATAAGTAATTGCATACTGAGAATATACTATCTACCAGACATTGAAAAAGACATTTTGAGGTACGTCGCATCCCTTACTAGAAATACAATGAAGAATAAGACATGATTCCTGCCCTGAAATCCTGTTAATTGCTTTATAGTTAAACACTTTTAATAGTAAGAGATGTAAAGGGAAGGTTACTCTGATATTAGAAAGCAAAGCAAGTAGAAATGTCATTCATTTTTTATAAATAGCTCAGTTAATGGATGTGATACATTTTATAAAGAACCAGTTCAAGTATGCAGTGTGGTCTAATTACATTAATTTTGTAAGTATATTGCATATTGTAAGGCACTTAAAACATTTTTTTTTGTTTTTATTTTTTTTAGAGACAGGGTTGCCCAAGCAGGAGTCCAGGGGAGCAGTCATAGCTCACTGTAACCTTGAACCCCTGGGCTCAAGCAATCCTCCCAACTCAGCCTCCCGAGTAGCTAGGACTATAAGCACATGCTACTACATCCAGCTGGTATGGCATTTTTGAAGGAGGATGGGCAGGAATGCAAAACAGATCATAACTACTCACGTCTAATGCTGGTGTAGAAAGGAGAACGTGGGTTGACTGAGCTACATCAGCAGCGTGCAGGCTGTTGTGATATGCCACATCGGAATGGTAATGGTCTTCTAAAGTCATCATGTAGGTTATAAATGTGTCAGATGAGATTCTGAATGTCTTCAGGAGGTCTCTTTCCTATGTTGTAAAATGGATTAGAACATAAATAAGTAGATGTCCAAAGTGGAGGAAAGTTAAATCAGAAAAGCAAGATGGAAAAAAAAAAATCATAAAGAGCCATCCAATTGGAAAGCCAGCATTCACTCCTGTTCACTCACCTGGAATATAGCATACATGATGCATGTTAGGGGCCTATTGTGGGAATATCCAGCCACATTAAAGATGTTAAGACCCCATTTGTTCAGGTCTTCCAGTTCCTGCAATTAAAAATTTAAAGGAATTTAGGAATAAGGATAGTTGTGCTCACATGCCTCATTCTTTTAATTTATTTTTTGGACACTGGCTGCTTAAGTCTTTAGAGTGTCTCCTTAGAGTGCTTCGGTTGCATGAAAATCTGAAAGTTAAATTGCCTAGGAGGTCGTGTGTCCTCTTCATGATAGCTACAAATTTCTGAACATTTTTTTATTCAGAGAAAGGAGAGTATCTATTTATAAATTTAGTTGCTGACCTATATTGGACATGCATCAGTCTTCAACCAACATTGCTTTCAAAGTGGCCACAAGTGAACAGAGATCACTCTAGTTCAATTTCCCTGTCTCTCTCCTTGCTGCTTACTGGCCCATTAGTAACAGCTCGAAAACAGTCTCAGGGAAAACTCTTCTGCCCTTTGGTTATCATCACTGAAAGCCAGATCAGGAAGACTCAGCTGTCAGAATGTGCATAAGTCAACCCAATTTAATGTAAAAGGTCATGAAGAATGCCAGTCATAAATTATATCCTAGGGCTTCTGGGCCACAGATGGACCTGGAAGAAACATCACTCAGTCCTGTGTTGTGAGATTATTCCAAGGTTATCTGATTTAAAGACCAATTTATTTCATTCTTAACAACTACCCAGAGTAAGAGATCCAGGTTTCCATCACGACTTGGCCTAATGTTTAATCCACCTTCCTCTCATGGCAGCTTTCAGAAGGTCTTACTGCTCACAGTAAGCTGATTTCATATTCTCACAAAGTTGAGAGGACCTCAGTAGTCACCTTGTGTGGCCTCCTAAAGGATGTATGAATTCTTTCTATGCCTCCCTCCACTACTGGAGTTTGGGCTCCAGAGTCAGTGCTGTCAATTTCTCTTTATTTCTTTTCCAGCACTACCGATTAGTGCAGATTTTCCCATTGGTCCTCAGCATACAGTCCCTGAAATGTCCTCTGGGATAATTGAGACCTGCCTATTGACCTTTCCTTGGATTTTCCCCATGTCTCTTCAGAAGGATCCTTCATTCATAATGAACTGTCCATAACAAACCTAACTTGAGACAAAACAAAAAAAGTGGTTCTTTGGTATGGAAAAAGGATCTTCCATCAGATACCCCAACAATGGCATTCTTAATAACTACCAGCATAAGAGATCCAGGCTCTCCCCCAAGACTTGGTCTCATGTTTAATCAACCTTCCTTTAATGACAGCTTTCAGAATGCCTTACTGCTCACAGTAAACTCATTTCGTATGAGCTTCCCTAACACAATAATGCAAAAGCAATCCCTACTGTTTTCTAAAAACAGACGGTCATCCGTCTGCTGTAAAGCAGAGAGCTACATGCACAAAACCTGAGCTTATACACACCTTGGCCAGGTGATCTTCATTTTCAGTGTTGACTCCAAAGCGTGAGATGCTTGTATTGTTTAAGCTTGAACTATGCATTAATTTCTTCACTCCACTTATCTGGGTCATGAGCTGCTGCTTTTTCTTTTTCTCCCTGTCTTTCTGGGTGGGAGATGGGATCTCCACATCATTCTGCTTGTCTGCAACAGACAAAGGAATATGTTTTTTAGCACACGTGTCTATGAGAATCCACCGCAATATTCAAAACAACTCTAACCATCTGTAACAGCTTTAGAATCTTATAAAATCTTGTAGCACTATTTCACTGTATCTCTAGGGTAGTTCTATGAAGTAAGTGGGGAATATATAAAATTTGTTGAGAATGATAAGAAGATTTGTTGTTCCATGTTATTGCTAGGCAAATTAAAGCCCAGAGGAACTAAGTAACTTGCCCAGAAAGCAGCAAAAATAGGACCCAAGACCAAATCTCCTGTTTTCAGTGTAATTTAGGAGAATTACCCTTATACATTTGCAAGATGGAGCACCAATATTTATATGTAGATTTTTTAATAAAGTGATTAACATATTTTTGTATAATAAAATGTTCATCAGATTAATAAAAACAGGTTTCATGATCTGCTCATCTTATCTTTACTTAAAAAATTTAAAAATCCATATGGCTTTAGCAAGGGCTCAGTTTAAGTAAGCAGTATATATGTTAGAAGTAGAAATGGGTCATAATCCTCAAACAATTACTTTAAGGACTTGGTTTATTACCCTTTGAGGTTTAGAGGAAGACTATAATTTCAGTTTTATTTCATGCCTTGTGTCTATTAATTCTACTAATAAATAATAATAAGGCCTCTCATTTGTAATAAGCATTACACTTATTAACACATTTAAGGTTATTACATATTTATGATATTTCATAATATTTTAAAAAGTTGTGTTACAACAAGGTAACAGCAGAGCTTGGATTAGTGACAAAAAAAATGTGCCTACCTGCTTATAGAAGCTCTTTCCTTTACATTGTGCTGTTAAAAATATCAGCAATCAAATATTCCATTTCACTTCACAGGGAGATGTATGCTCAGTAATCCTGAAAAAATGCGTTAACTCTTTCAGGCCACAGGGATGCTGGTGGGTGCACAGAGGCAATTGTTAAATTGCATAAAAACTACTTTATTGAACTAAATGGCATCCTGTGGCTGAAAGAGTTAATGCAGCTTTCAAAAGTATCTACATTTACCTCTGCTAGTTACAGTGAAAATTAGTAGGAAGACAACTTTGCCATTTGAAAATGACATGCTCCCAGATGGCATTTTGGGATCTAGACGATTTGTTTTGACTCTTGCAGATAATGGCACAGTCACATGTTTTCCCCAGAGACCTCTGGCTGCTCATAGGCCCCTGCGGACACTTCATCAGAGCAAGCAAGCACAGTGAGACACTACCAGCTTCGTGTATACCTCACCTCTTCTCTGTGGGGCTGAAGCAAGGGAATTCTCCATCCCTGACATATCAATATTGTCTCTAGGTGTCCCACAAGCTCCTACACTCACAAGCCTATGACTTTTGCTTAGGGAGGAATTTTAGTGGTCATCTCAATTAGTTTAGGGGTTTCCAACCTAGTCCGGCATCAGAAGCACCCAGAAAACTTCAGAAAAATACAGATTTATAAGCCCCACCCAACTCTACTGAATCAGTATTTTCTTAAAAGATTCCCGAGTGACTTGGCTAATCAGAGCCAGGTTTGAGAACCAATAACAATCCCACACTCTCATTTTTCAGATGAAGTCAGCAACTTGCCCAAGCTCAAAGGGCAATTTATTTAACAGATATTTATTTTGCAATTACTTTGCTCCAGACACAGTGATTTAATAGCATAGAACCCAGGCCTTGAGGTTCCTGTTAAAAATCTCTTTCCTGCCACACAATCTCTGGCATAAAAACTTTATTTTATATTAGTTTGAAATTACTTTTCTCCCTGTCACTTTACTCCTAATAATTACTACTTTTTGCTAAAATGAAAGGCCACCACAGGGCCTGCCTTTCTAACCACCATTCTTCACCTCCAGTTAAAGAGGCTCGTAGATTCTCCTGTGTCACTGCACATATAACCATTTCTAGTAGGACTAGTAGGACCATTTCCCTTTGTTTAATTAAATATTTCCCGCAACAGTGAGTAATTGAGCTGAACCACTACTGTGTCTGGAACACGGCAGTGATGAAGAAGACCATTATTCACAAATAGTGCCAATTTGACATTAATGGGTGTTTCTCTATGCAGGCACTGGAACAACTAATAGGTTTCCCTATTCTGAATTTCCTCTATTAAATGCTTAGCCAGCACAGTGTGGAAATAATCAGAAACTCAGACTCGAAGAAACCACAATAAACACTCTGAGTGAATTTACATTTATGGAATAGTCAGAAAACAGTGAGCAAACAGCCGGCCTGTATAAAACAAACAAAAAGCAGATACAAAAAATAGTCTCATCCAAATTCTGTTAATGGCTTAATTTGAGGTTCCTGTTTTGCTAGATCACACTTTTCAATTATGCAAAATTCCTAAGCTCTTTTCCTCGCATCTTGAAAATTCTAAGTTCTAGATTTTGAGATGGTAAGTAGAGGATTTAAAAGGATAACTTCTCTCTGTACATGAAAATATTAACTAAATTGTAATATAACATCTAAAAATCTTGTATTATTTATTCTCCTTCTCCCTAGGTCCTGCTTTATTTCCCTTGAAATTAGACACTTCTATTTTCCCTTGTACCAGCAACCTGGAGGTTATTATATGACAGCATCAGTGAGTGCCTGGACTGGTAAATATAGTCTGCTGCCTGCCTTTCTCCCTGTCCTCCTGCATCACTTTTTTTTTTTTTTTTTTTTTAAGATACGAGCAACACAAGTTTCACATATCTCTGGATTAAGGGATTTCCCTCCTCCCTGGATGACACATTTTTAACATTTAATGACTCTTATTGAGATATTGCTCTTCAAGTTTAAGGTAAATTGCTAAGATCTTATTTTATGCTCACTGAAGTGGTTGCCAAGGTCTTACAGGAAACTTTTATATAATTAGAAACTGTTAATACATTTTTTTTTTTTTTTCTTTTTTGAGACAGAGTTTTGCTCTTCTCGCCTAGGCTGGAGTGCAATGGTGTGATCTTGGTTCACTGCAACCTCCATCTCCTGGATTCAAGTGATTCTCCTGCCTCAGGCTCCCCAGTAGCTGGGATTACAGGCATGCACCACCACATCCAGCTATTTTTGTATTTTTAGTAGAGACGGGGTTTCACCATGTTGGCCAGGCTGGTCTCGAGCTCCTGACCTCAGGTGATCTGCCCATCTTGGCCTCTGAATGTGCTGGATACAGGCATGAGCCACCATGCCTGGCCTGTTAATAAACATTTTATTTTTAGGTCCCACAATCATGATTCCTAAAGATTTGTTTCCAAAATGATATATGTATTACTTAAGAGTCCTTATGTGATTTTGTTCTATATATTCTGTGTTCCTAACAGCCTTCTTTCCTCGTTAAAGGATTGACAGGGTGTTTAGGTCTAGATGTCAAGAGAGCCAAGTCCTAGTTCTGGCTGAGGAATGTATTAGCCAAGTGATCTTGGTCAAGTTACCTCATCCCTCTGGGTCCTCTGTTTTCTCTCCTATAAAATGAGGGAATTGGACTACAAGGTTTTAGGGTCCCATGCAGATCAGAGGGTTTATGAAGAAGGCTTCATGGTCTTCCGGGAACATTCATCATGCTCACAGGATAAAACTAAGAGTTCCATGCCCTTCACTGTCAGTCTGGAAACAAACTTCGTTTATTTGTTTTTTGAGATTGTCAAATTACAAGCCGAGGGTTCACCACAGAGAATCCAGATGGCCAGGTATGTCTTAGCAAAACTGATAAACTCAGTTCATATCAAAGTTACAGGAAGTTAGAGTTGGAAGGGATTTGAGATGTCATCTATACCAGTGTTCCCATTTTACAAGTGAGACAACTGATGCATCTTTTGTTCATATTATAGGTTTTTTCATCCTATATCTTCTCAAGAACATTTAAAATTCCAATCTGCCTGTCTAGTCTATTTGATGGGGTTTACCCCATATACCCTCAAACATATATACCCACTGACACACACCACCCTCTTAATGCTAAGAGTCTACAAGGATTGAGATTCTAATAACCTTCCTCAACAATTTGTTCTTGAATTTAATTTTTGGAACAATGAGAAGCCAAATGACTGGTTTTGCTCAAGAGATCTGCCTAAATAGCAAGCACAATAGGCAAGAAAGAGTTGACATTTGCCTCATCTTGGACAGTGTTGAGACTCAGAACTCATGCTATTTAACATCTTTTAAATTTTTTCTTTTTATTTTTTCCTACTCTGAGGAATGAATCATCTTTATTATCTTATCAGCTTTCTTTCTTGGTAGCCTATGGTGATAAAAAAGATTAATTAGTGGACTAAGATATTCTTGTTGTCCTTGGTAAGCAGATATTGAAAGAGACTACAAATGAAGAGGACTGCTTAAGTCCAGTCTTGGATGATTAAGGGTTCAGAGACTTCATATAACTTTAACTACAGTAGTGAGAGTCTCTTCTGAGAAGTCCTCAAGCCCTCATATTTTAAAATGCAATGCTTATGAAGACAAAAATGGGTTCTTGCAGTTTTGATTTTATTCTCATCTCCCACAGTCATTAACCTGTAAAATGTCCCTAAAACAGCTTCCAGCTAATGAAAAATCATTGGGCACTACACAGAGCAGGGTATATCTGAAATGCTCAGCAGAAGATCCCTTTCTTCAAATGTATAAAAGGAGAAGAAAAGGATCAGTATTTAATGTTTTCTGTAGAGTTACTTTCTAGGCACCTCTGGGAGCTAGGATGGATGAAAATTATTCTCCTTTGTTCTCTGACAAAGGCGTTGCAACTGCAGCTGGAGAAAATTAAGTGCTGCAGACACTCACATACTAGAAACTGTTAGAAAGGCACTTGTTAATAATGTCTGATGACCATCCACTGCAGAGTAATGCAGTAAGCTCTGTATGAGGCTGCTTAAAGAGAGGGCTGATTGATCTGCTGATAGCAAGAACTGCTTTGGTGTTAGAGAAATAGGATTGATCTTAGAAATAAAACCAGAAGAGGTATTTGTTTCAATAAGGCACATGTACACCTATGTTCATTGCAACACTATTCAGGATGGTAAAGACATGGAATCAACCTAAATGCCCATCAATGATAGACTGGCTAAAGAAAATATGCACATATACACAGGCATTTCCATAGATCCTCTGAAATCTAGGAGGAGGTTCCCAAATCTCTACTCTTGTCTTCTGCACTCCCACAGGTCAAGGAAAATGCTCATTGATTTAATGCTATATGGCTATTCCAAAAAAGAAGAAAGGATGCAATGTTCAGCTGTGAGAGTGGGTCACTTCCCTGGAAAATGAGGTTTCATAAGCAAGCATAATTCAGCAGCAATTTAAAGTCAACAAAATCAGAATCTAAATGCTATCCATTTACTTTGATGCACAGATCTGCAGATTCTGCAAGACTTCTTAAATCAAAATTGTCCTAATAGGTTCATTATACAAAAGTTGCCTTTAAGACTGAATTCAAAAATCCCAAATAATCAAATAACATGCATGACAATAGTTGAGGACCATTCATGCAATCCTTTTTGGTCAGTATCATGTGTTAAATACCAGTAATGTAACAACAGAATAATGGATAAAGCATCAGATGGGAAAGAGAATGAGGCTGCTTGCAGAATATGAAATCCTTAAGATAGTATTAAAATTCTCCCCATACCATCCATTTATCTTTAATAAATAACTTAGCAAAGCAATAGTCAAATTATTCCCAAAGCTTATTCTCACGGACCAAATCACCATGGAATTATTCCTCAAGCATATCCCCTACAAAACATCATAGAGGAAACCTTTTGCTCAAAGCTCAGTTATTGAAGGAATTGAAAGGCTACCATGTCAGAGGAGCCAATGGAGCTGTCTCTAGGGCTTGGGTGATTGGATTTCCCTCATTACTTCAGAGGTCTTAGCAAAGATGGAAGTGGGCAGGCAGATAAGGTGGGGCTGAGGGCCGTTTAAATACAGTTAGCCCATAATAACCCTCTGTCTTGGATGGGTATTTTAATTCTTTTTTTCAAAAACATGATCTTTCTGCTTTTTTTTTCTTTTGAAGACTGGCCTTAGTTATTATTTTAAATGGATTTTTATATGACTCAACTCCATCCCCAATTCACATGGGGATGTCCTTGATAGATTGTAGAAATTAATTCTGAAAACCCCAGTTATAAAACAGGTTTTTCCCAGTTATTATCTTACCTAAGAAAGTATTTGAAATGTATTCAGACACCTGGTTCCCTGACCGGCTCATCTCTGAGAGGTGTGTCAGCTCCCGGTTCAGCATTCTTTTGAACTGTTTATAAAGAACAAAAATGCATTAACCATTTTCAAAAGAGCAAATGTTCACTTTAAATGTTTCCAACTTTACTGTCCAGGAATCAAGAGGTTGGATGAGCAGATACCATTAGATAAATAGTACTGTTTCTACAAAATGTATCTCTTCAACTTGAAATTATTCCAACGTCACTTTTGGAAAAGAGGTTTTCTTAAGATTTCTTAGAATTAACAACTGATTACTTTTGTAGATGCAAACCTAGGAAAAGGAATTTTAATAGATGTCAAGATAATTCCACTTGAAACTGTAACTACTTTTAAAAATACATTTGTCTGAAATTACCTCTAAAATATAATTTAATAACCTATTTGGTGACAGGAGATTATATGTGAAAAGTTTAAGCGAAAAAGAAAAAAAAGAAGCATCTTTTAAAAAACAGAATTGAGTAAAAATAATAGGGTTAAAACACAGCATACTACACTTAAATAAAATGTAATATAACATGCTCTTATTTCAAAATAAGAGGTCCCAGTGGGTTAAATGAACACACAAATTAAATCATTACAGATGTCCTCTACTTCACACAAAACACGCGCGCACACACACACACACACACACAGATACATGTTTCACATTTTATCAAAGACACAGAACACAATCAAATTAACCCACCTTGATGTAACCCCAAGATACAGATAACAAATAATTTGCCTCAGGCATTTTGGAATGCTCTCTTTGCCACAATCCACAAATCCCTTTGAAAGAATTCACGGTTCTGAGAGAGCAATCCCGAAAGGATCAGGAAAGCCCTGCAGATCCAGTGATAAAATAATCAAAACTTAGAAAAGACAAAACCTCCAAAATGTATGGCATTTCCTAAGCCAAACAAAGCCCATCTTCGCACTCCATTCTTGCAAGAAGCCTATGCTCCCTGCTTATTTCCTGGCAGAAGAGAGCAATGAAATCAGGAATTGCACGAAGGAGCAAGAGCCTGTCCAAATGTATTCAGCTGGCTGGTTTGAAGCACTTATGAATTATGAATAGTCCTGGTGGCCGAAGGGGTTTCCACTCTTCTACATTAGTCCTACTCAGCCGAACTCTGCAAGGAAGAAGCAATTCTTCTTTCCTGAGGAGTTGCCAGACTAGGAAACACAGCCATCTTTTAAAAAGGAGAAGATTAAAATGGAGGAAGCCCCATGAATATTTAAGTAAATCTGAAGTTGGTACCCTCCCCCATTTCAACTAGGTGTTCCTTAACCCTCTCTCTCCACTGCAGACCAGAATTCTGCAGATGCAGCCTCTGCACAAAAATCCAGCTGCTCTAATGGATCAAAGTGATGATGCATTTGATTAATCGACTTTCTGAACATTTAAACAAACATTTAAAAAAGGTTAGGACCATGGCTGTTTTCAGACTAGGCTTGCCGGTACACAATAATTTTTGTGAACTAGCTTTTTGGAGGATTATTTGTCGCACACCAAGCGTGTGCCAATGCATTTAGCCTCTTTTCATAGTAAAATGAATGGGAATGGAATTAATTTATTTCATTTGAAAAGTACTTCCTATGCAGCATGTAAGTTTCTGCCCTCCATTAGCTCATTGATATGCATATTAGATTGCATTCGACAAATGTATTAAACTCTTTTAACCTTTCCATCTAAGATCCAGAGTGTGTTAGGAAATATGAACAGTCATAACTGAAAGAATGGTGAATTGTTTGAGATTTAGTGTTACCTCTTCTAACTCACATTAGAAATCTGAGGATTTAAATTAATTTTTATTTTATTTTAGCCATCCAGGGCATGTTGAGAAAGTCATTTCTTCCCTGCATGTTTCTCTCTCCCTTCTTCCCAGCCCCTCCCTTCTCCTTGTCAGCATTAGAGTACAGGCAAGGGGAAACACTAGAGCTTTACTGCAGTGGGATTCCCTGCCCCAGGCTCATCCCATTTCCCTCCTCATCTCTCCCCTCTGTTATCCTACCCCTGTACTCCCATAATTTCATTTATAGCATGTTGAAGGAGTAGCAAAGTACCACGGCAACAACCCCGACTTGCAATTGGCTTTTTTTCCTGTGAGGCGTTCCCCTTTCAAATGAGCATCAGCCTCCAACAATAGCTTTATTTCAAGTATCCAAGCCCGGGGTTACGCCATGGCCTGTGCCTAGGAGACCTGGCTTTTGGAGGTGAAGCCAATGCAAGTCAGTATTTCTGCCTGCTGGCTCACTGCACCATGCATTGTTCTCAAAGATGTCCAATCACCCTCTTTTTGGGTAACCCTACTTGTGTATGTGGGTGTGTTTCCCATGATACAATATGTTAGTAACCAGGCATCTCTGAATCAATCATCTCAGCTAGCGTATTTTACTTATTGAACCTCTGTGCAATTTTGAACCCCAGGTGAATCTGTGAATCGCATGACTTCCAAAGTATTTAGTTTTAAAGACACAACTGCTCAGTCACAATGGCCTCTCATCTTAAATCCTTAAAAGACAGGTACTTAGGCTGAAGACTCAGAAGCTGAAGAAGACAAGTTTATTGCTCTGACCAATAAGCTGAATTTTGGCAAAGAAGTAAACTTTACTTGAATCATTGTAAAAATATCTTGTAAAAAGCTTAGAGACAGATGATTTCTTCCATAATTTTCTCTGCACTAGACTTAGGCAAATATAACATTCAAACAATTGTCTCATTTTGGCTTCTTTAGTCTCTCTGAAACACTTAGGAATGTTTTAGAGTCAATCAGGTTGGTATTAGTTCAATAATCACCTTTTTTTTCCACTTATTTGTCAACCATTTATTGAATACCTAAAATGACCAGGAAAAAGAGTGATGATATAGCAGTGAAAAAAAACAAAGGAACAAACAAAAACTCTTTTCATGCTTTTAATCAGCTTTCATTCTAGTAGGAATAGATATATTAGGGCACGTTGTTTAACCACAACAGCAAACAGTCTGGAGACGGTAGGGCCAGTTCTTTATTAGCTCTATCAGCATCTCTGCTCAGAAGATAGGAGCAGGTAGAAATTGGATCATAAAAGGCTATAAGAGGAAAGACTTCTCTGTTTATTTTCTTCCTATGGCCTCCCATTGCCACAGGACCCTGTTGGGATACATTGTCAATCACTTTCATTATGGGATCAGGGAGGTGGCTGTCAGCTGCAGGGCTGAAAATAAACCAGACTCCTCACCTTTCCCACATAGTTTACTGAAAGGATCAGTGTACTCATCTAAGTCATTAACAGATGAATATCACCTTCCTCCTTTCCAGGCCTAAACTAGTTCTCCTAGGAGCCTTTTGCTAAGGGCATACAGCAATGCCACCAAAAAACAAAGTCATCTTAAGGCAATCATAAAACACACAACATGGCGAAGTATGCAAATGAAGGTCACTTAGTGTCAGAAATTAACCTAGTCCTTTAAATGTTGCTTAGCAACAACTGTTGGTTTTCCTCCTCCATAAGGGAGGGCCCAACCACACTGACGTGAAGGCAATCATTGCTCTCATCAAAAAGCACGTATGAAGGGCCCATTTATGTTGGGCTCTGTACAAACTGAGAAAGGCAGACATGGCCTTCAAGGAGCAGACAGCGGGGGGTGGAAGGGTATCTTTTACATTCTAGTATATGTAGAGTTGAGTTAGTATGACTAGCGTTTAACTGTGTGATGAGACACATTAAGAAATAGAATAGATATGAATTATGTTTGAAGTGAAGCCTGAGGAGACAGTTGAGGAGCTAGGCTTAGTTGGGTTTTCAGCAACTGACTCCCACATGGGAGTGTTTCTGTTGAGCCAGAGGCAGCCACTATGTAGTAGACGAATCTTGACTTTTCATTCTCGGCTCTCACTCTCCTGTGTAGTTACATCACCTCTCATGTGTAAAATGAAAATGATGCATGATTTTAGGATCTCAGCCTTTCAACCCTAACCTTTCATACTTGTATGATAAATTTTGTGGGTGCCTCCTACAGTTTGGACACATTATTTACCAGCAACCAAGACTTCCCAGAAAACAAAACTCCCTCTACATGACTGAGGAAAACAACTCAGATTGAAAATGCTTCAGACCATAACAAAGGGAGGGAAGCATTTATCATCCCTCAGAGTTTTATAGTGTAAGACTTTTGGAGTTTATTAAGTTGCATGTTTCATCCAGACTCAAAGGTAAAATAGCTCCTGGGTAAAACTGTGTCCCAAGGAGTTACTGGATTGAAAGGAAATGGGCATTATTTACTTTATTAAATGCAGTAGAGAAATTCACAAATAGGAACATTTATTTTAAAGATAAATGTGTCTCTACCATTTCATGCACACAGATACTATTTTCCCTAAGAATCTGCCTTCACAGGAAAACTCTGTTACAGCCTACCTAGAAATAATGTCCCCAGAGGAAATGGCCAATGCCACTTTTCAACACAGACAAGCAAAGTTTGTGAATGAACTCTTAGTAATAAAAAATTCCTCCAATGCCTTCTTAAGCTTATGCCCAACACTAGATTCACATATACTGCTAGAAATTGCAGCTATTTTTTGAAAAGGGAAGAAGGTATATTTTCTAGGTAAGTGATTTAATACTATTTGCCTAGAATATACCTTTTCTATAAAATTGTCTGAATTTTGGAATAAGTTCCTTTAATAGCGAAAAGTTATTTTAAAAGTAGAGAATAGGTAATAAAAGCTAAAATTCAGTTACACTTGATAGGAACATTTTGTTTGTTTGATGGCTTCAATTTTTCTTTAGTTTCAACACTGCATACAGAGATTATTTCATCCAAGCCAGTTTCTTCTTTTATTTTATTTTTATTTATTTTTATTTTTTTATTTTTATTTTTTTTTGAGACGGAGTCTCGCTCTGTCGCCCAGGCTGGAGTGCAGTGGCGCAATCTCGGCTCACTGCAAGCTCCGCCTCCCGGGTTCACGCCATTCTCCTACCTCAGCCTCCCCAGTAGCTGGGACTACAGGCGCCCGCCACTGCGCCCGGCTAATTTTTTTCTATTTTTTAGTAGAGACGGGGTTTCACCATGGTCTCGATCTCCTGACCTTGTGATCCGCCCGCCTCGGCCTCCCAAAGTGCTGGGATTACAGGCGTGAGCCACCGCGCCCGGCCCAAGCCAGTTTCTTCTGAAGTGATAGGACACTTCTTCACTTTTCTATATTTCTTGTGGGAGAATTAGTTTGAGCTTTATGCAAAGATCTGCAGGCAAGATAGGCACCATCTTGGTAATGAGTTCTTAAACTAATCACATAGGAGGAGTGAACTGGAATGATCGCAGGCTCTTCTTAAATCTAAAATTTGGCGATTTTATGTTTTGAGAATAAAACAATCCAGAAGAGTGATAACACAGGAAGCTAGTATAAAGCCCATGAAAGAGCTCCTTCTAAGACTAATTTAGGCCTGTTGAGGGTGACCTGATAAAACTATTCTTTACCCTATCAAAGAAAAGCTAAAGCAGGTACCTTCCTCTCATGGATAATCTCAGGATGAGGTCAGTAGGAGAAAACTGTAAGAACAGAGAATAAAAAGGTGTCAAGGAGAGGAAGACAGCCCCAGCAGTTAGTTACTCTTGTGGGTGGCTCTCTACGCAGGAGCCCAGCTGTGAGACAGGCGCCTTATTGTGTGGGATCTTCCTGTTTTTGCAGAATGAAACAACTGCCGAAGTCATTAAAGTCACAATGACTTTATTAGGGACTAACTTTTGACTCATGTTTTATACGTTGTTAGTCATAACTTAAAAAGAATTCCCAGGCATCAGGAAAGTGAAGGGACTGAAAATGCCTCCTGAAGGCACAGAATGCTAGTAGTGGTAGAAAGAAGTTTAAACTTCTTTCTGTTTAAACTGTAGTGATACAGTTTAGTGAGAAATGAAGTAAACAGAGTCTGTCCCTGTCTTAGGTTTGGCCCTAACCAAAGATGTAATCTTGGGTAAGCTGAATTAACTTCTTGGGGTTCAGTTTCTTTGGTGGTAAAATGGCTAGCTTCTAATCTTCCTTTTGACTTTCAGGAATTTTCCATGGAAAGAAATGAAGACCCAAATAAGTAAAGCAAATCTAAGTTTAAAATGAAAAAGAAAAAAACAGAATGGGGGATATAGTGTACCTTGTCTAAAACTCCTTATGAAACTCACAATTTCCACAATTCTTAACATTTCAGATTATTTGACAATATGTGTCTCATCTCTTCCCTCCTTTTTGCATTTCCCTGTAATCTCTACCAATCATCTGAAACTTGGTGTCCGGTTTCCTTATTGACAGGTTGGTCTTATTTGAAAAGCAAGTACAATTGAGTTGAGTTGGTAATATGGTCAAAGAAGTAATAATGGACATGCAATTGTCCATTAACATCTGCTTAATCAGCTAGAGTTCCATAATGGGTCATCTTAGCGAACAAGTTCTGCTGTACTAACATCTGCAGCAAACCTTTGGTGTGCCAGGGAACAAACACAGTGAGGTCATTCTCACTGTCCATGTGCCAAATCAGAAAGAAACTCTTCTGAACATGTTAGAATTGAGTGATTCTTTCCTTAAATGTTCAGCGATGTAGTAATCAATAAGTATCCAACGAAAAACAAGCATGAATATATCTACCATTATTCTGCATCAAAAATTATGATGAAGCAACCATAGAATCAATTCTACTTGCTAGTTAGAGGACAAGTATCTGCTCAAGTGACATATTAAAAGGCAAAGCAGGAAAAAACCATTAATGCCTTCATACAGAATTGAAAAATATCAAAAGATCAAACAAATTTGAATATAGCAGCTCTATATCTTGAGATTAGGGCTTGAACAGCTCTCCAAATTATTAGATATTTCTTCCTATCTATCTAACCCTTTTCTGCTGTCCATTTTTCTCAGAATTTCTGAAAACTTCTCAAGAGATGATATAACACACATTATTGGAACGCTAAAAAATCAACGTTCCTAGACCCAAAATGATTCCCATAAGAATGTTTATAGCAATTTCTCATGATCCAACATTCTCTCAACTCTGAAAGTTGCTGTAGTGATGTAATCAAATTGACAAAAGATACTGTAACTATTTATACCTAAAGACTGATATAGTCACTATGCATTTTAAACTATATACATAATATTTATAAACTATATTATTTTTCCACATATGTAAGGTTTAGCAAATAAAAATTTGGGGCACCAAGTTAAATTTGAATTTCAGATAAAGAAGAGTTTTCTTTATCTTTTTTTTTTTTTTTAACTGTAAGTATAGTCCTGATATTGCATATCCAAATCACCTATGAAGAGATGGGATTTCCAGGCCATACACTCATTAAATATGTTAGGTTTAGGGACACTGTATATTTTTAGATAATTTAAACTTTTTGAACTTTTCTTTTTGACAGAGGACTTTTCTTCCAATGAAATGTAAGACCTAAAACTGTTCCTGGAGCATCACAATTTCATTTCATATACTTGATCCTTCCCTTTTAATTTGTCTGTTAATAGAGAAAGACAAAAAAAAAAAAAAGGAACTTTGAAGATTTGAGATGATGGTCTGATAATTAAATTTAGCAGAAACCTTTTTCAACAGATGACAAAAATCATCATGGTAACTAAGAAAAATCAAGGAATCAAGGTACATTATTCAGTTACTCTTTTGTTTTCCCATTTAAGCCTTTCTATATTTTTTTCTGTACCGGTATAATGGCTAATATTTAACTGAAAGCTTCTAGAGTGAATTCCAGGCCACAGGGCATTAATATGATTCCAAAGTAGATGACAAAAGTTTCTTTGGAAACATTTCACAGCTAGAAGCTCTACAACTTACAGTACTTTTCAACAATCAGAAGACTTGTCATGGATCAGACCCACGGACCATCCAGTGAAGTGTCCTTTCCTGATCAGTGAAAAATAACACCTATGTTTTAGGACCTTCAGATCTGACGTGAAAGTAGTTACACAGAACAGGGAAACTACCACCCAAATATTCTACTTTCTTTTCATAACCCATATGTATTGGCCATGATTCTCTTTAAGAAGTGAATTCCATTTTCAGTCTATACTACCTCTTAGGTTGTTTTAAGTCCTGCCTTATTAAAGTTTCTAATAGTTTTTGCAGCTACAAAAATCTACCATAGCTTGTTTTTGAGATTATTACTCTACCCCTTAAAAACACCATGTAGAACACGTTGTGTTTATTATTAATTGTATTGATTTCAGCTAGTGACTTTCATACAGCCCTTGAGGTAAAAGACAATGGAATGCTTCAATACCTGCCTTGGGAATTGCCACTTCTGGACTAGCGATTTCTCAGGGCCGGGACAGCCTACTAATCTGGCAATTTTCAAGATCAACTCTAGGGCCTATCAAAAAAATAAATGAAAACTTTGGGCTACATAGATGTATCCTTTTCTTCCCTGAAAGCATATATGTTATCATCTGTTTTGATATTTCAGTAAATCCTAAGCTAGAGTATGTACCAGCAAATTGAGGAAAATCTGTAACAGACTGGAGGTTTGCACATATAAACTATTAACTAAAACTATAAAAGATGAAAATAGTTGCATAACGTAGTTATAAAACAGACATAAATTTCATAGACTTAGCGATATGTAATTTTATCCTATTAAAAAGGTAGTTAGGCTTGTTATGTATTTTTAGCTATTATTAACTATTAGCTATCACTTTTATTTTATGATAGCTATTAGCTATCATAATTTAGAAGAGATGGAGAGATTCTTTGAATAAGGCACCTCAAGATGTATTGGTTTGCTGGGTTCATGGAAGGTTAATAGAGGCAGCTTCTACTGCAAACATGAAGTAGAGGGGGTGCTGGTTGCAGGTTTGCCTTACCAGTGAGCTACAGCTAATCCAACATCATAATAGCATGATATAGCAGCATATGAAGATTCAACTGAATCTGGAAATAAAATATGTACTGTAACTTAGTCTGAGAAACATGGCAAGTCATTGAGTCTCTTAGAGACTAGAATTTTCTATCTTTGAAATGGGAAGATTAGGAATAATATATGTAAAGTGGTTGCCAAGGTGTCTGAGACCTAGTGTGTGCTCTTTCTTCCACAGGATTTGTACTTGAAGCTAGGTTTTATCTGTAAATTTCAAAATAATCTGAGCTCATGGTACCTTTCTCACTTTGGATTTGCTTTTGGGTGGAAGTTTCAGTTGGTTCTTTGATACCTAAATACCTTATTTTCATTGTTGACAGCAGTGTATATAATTAACTACAGAATTCCCATAGCATGCTGCTGCAGGTGTGATGCAGTACTATGTCACATAGATTATGTGACACATGAGTTACTCATAGAAGTTCAGACTCTCTGGTTGACATTCAGATTATTCACCAGTCTAAGGAGCGTAAACCAGAATTGCCAGAAAGATAGATGAAGCAAGTCAAATGAAAAGCACCATAACTCAAAATGGCCTTATGTTTAAGTTATACCATAAAAAAGAGTCTATTTGGAGAAATTCAACTGTTGGTAACTATCCATTCACGCTTCTTTGGTTTAGCCAATTTTCTCAAATTAAAACACTTTACAACTTTTTTTCTATTGATTAAAAGCTATGACTGACCACAGACTACCTGACATAAGGATAACTGCATCAAGTATGCATTTTGCTCAGATTTTCACAGTTGAGATCAATGTGGTAACACGTATGAATTAATCGAATATGTGGCTGAAGTAAGAGGAGTGTCACCAATATGCCAGGAATGAAAACCAAATGATGGCAGATAATTAGGCTACTATTCTCCAACAGATATGGAGAATGGCTGAGTTACAGACATGTGTGCTCATAAATAGGCTCCCCAGAGAGTGTGGAACAGTCATTGCCAGTCTCCGAAGGGCTTAGATTC